CTCTCTCTCTCTCTCTCTCTCTCTCTCTTTATTTCTCTTTTTCTTTAACAGTAACCTTCTCTAATATTAACATAACAGTAAATATGTAAATGAGACAATTTCGTGCGAATATAATTCCGTTTATTCGCGCGCTTCTGTGCAAACAGCATTTTACCGCGATTTCCATCGCGATACCTTCTCCTTCTCTCTTTCTAATTCCGGAACAGATGAGAATCGTAAGGTCGTTCTGGCAATTTACTGAAACTCGTCAATGCCAAAGCGGATGGCCTAAGAGAGAATTAACACCTTAGCAGAAAGGTAGAAACCAATCAGAACTCGCACTATTGCTCAAATGGTACAGGACAGTCTCTGCTTTTCAGCGCGAGTTCTGATCTGCTTCTGCCATTCCGTTTTCTACTTTTCTGCCAAGGCGTGAATTCTCTCTAGGACTGAAATAACGAAGCACACTGCAAAATTTCTTTCTTCCTTTCTCTCTCTCTCTCTCTCTTTCTCTCTTTCTTTCTCTTCTCTCCCTTACTCATTACTCACTTCCTCCCTATAAATGGCGGACGATGTCCTAGCTCGAGGAACTCCAGGTGGCGGAGTGCAGGTGCGCTAATTGGACAGGACAGCGCGCTGCGCAATAATGCGGCCGCTGACGAAGCGGCAAGAGTCAACGTACGTTTCGCGTTGCGGTGTCGTGCACGTGATCGTGCATATCGACGCGAACGGTGGCGCAGTGCCGGTTTTCTCCTACCACCTTTCGTGACGAATTGCACCAGGGGGTCGATTCAGCCGAGTGACCGTGCAATTCCACGCCGCGCCACGTTACACCCCGGGTGTAGTCGAGGAGTCGGCTCGCAACTACGTCGGCCCGACGAATCGTCTCCGTTCGACCTCGTCTCGTCCCGTCTGGCCTCGCCTCGTCCTGTCGTTATCAGCATATCGTTGTTCGGGATTACGTCAAGTCGCGGACTGATGATAAACGCGGGTACAGATGACTCGGCGCCTCGATAATCGCCGGACGCGGAAGGTCGTTTTGAAAAATGACGCAAATTGCCGCCGATCGATAAGCAACGCTTCCTCGCCGACGCGAGGTAGTATCGTGCGGCGTACTCGACGTCCTCCATCGTCGTCGTGGTACTAGTAGTTGTTGTCGTCGTCACGGTAATTAATCCACCTGACTCAAACAATTCGACCTGGATTCTTTTTATATCGGGAAGCGTCGAGGGTCTCTTGTCGGGATCTCCTGGTCGTTTTCTACGACTGCGGAGATCGGAGAGATCGTCATTTTTCCTCTTTTTCAAGAATCCCTTCGCGCCGGATACACGCTTCTCTGATCACGCCCCGAGATGATCGACGATGCCAGGATTATACGGTGTAATACGATTGTGCGAAGTAAGACGCGCGCCGGCCTACTATTTCCGTTAACGGCCCGCTCGCGGAAGGACTTTGCTCGTCAAAGGAAGAAGAGAAGTAGAGCCTCGCGCCGTTCATCGGTGAGATTGAACGGCAGGGACGAAAGGATAAAGGCGAGTAGCGCATAAAGACGAGAAAGACATTTCCTCGTGCTTTATCACTTTCAATTCTGGCAGTCCGTAACGCTCGCTCTGCGCGATCAATTCGCGAATAAAGGGAGGCGAATAACGCGCGCGAGCGGCGCGACTTTTCGCCTCTTCTCTCAAAGCGCGGCGAATCGCGGCCGCTCTACCGAATCGCCTATCCTCGTGCCGCGATAAAAACCTCAATAGCGGCTTTATTCACTCGTACAAGAGAAGAACAGGAAGAGTGCGTCGAACACGCGAACGTGCCAATTTCCGCGGTCGAAATTTACGAGCCGTGACTCGGTGTAAGCCGCGATGCGAATCACCGAAGGCCCTTCCTCAACACGATGCTCCAAGGTCGGCCAACCTCCATCTCCTGCGGTGTCGGTTTTGTCGAAAGACCAATGGTAAAATAGGGCAAAGAAAACAGCCAATTAATGAGGACAAGATTCTCGCGACTCCACGCCGACATGTACATTTCTATCCTTTGGACGTTTGGTCAATTTTTGAGGATGAAATATCAGAGCATACACCTAAAAAAATCTCATCCTCGGTGAAATCCTGTTACATATACATTGAGAGGAAAAATATCTGAAAAATATCTGAAAAACAGAAATTGTTTATTTGGTGGATACTAATGACATATTTATTTAAATCTAAATTTTTGTATTGTTAGAATAAACAATTGCTTTTATATAAAGATAAGGTTTTAAGAAAATGTCTATTTTCTTATTTGAAGAATATTTTACATTAATATAAGAAAAAATGTTCATAGTACTCACCGAATAAATATTTTCTATTTCTTAGATATTTTTCCTCTGTTCTATTGTAGAAGAGAAATATTCTTTCGACAAAAGTTTTCGAATATGGGATTACGCCTTTCAATCAGAGTTCTTTTTTTTAATATTAGAATATTTTCTTTTTATTACAATATTTTCCTTTGATTTTCAAAATAATTCTCTTGAGGTCATGACATAATAGGATTTCGCCGAGGACGAGATTATGCTTTTCCGTGTGTGTGCACGCGAGATCCTGATGATTGTTCCACTTCAACTGTGCTCGGGCAATTCTGATATAACGACCTGCGCTTGATGAATTTTGTAAACAACAATCATGCCTTTATTGGGGCGCTCCGCACTCCGTCGACGACCTTAACGTGTTAATTAAGCGGGCCAAATTGCCGCGGAGAGCGGTCTCATTGTGAGGAAACTTGTCGAGGTTTCGGCGCGGTGAGCCAACTTGGCGCAAACTGCAAGATAGAGGCGCGATTTCTTCGGTAAGTGATCGCTTCATCGAGCCACGGCGAAATCACTGTTTATCCGCCGTCGTGGCTAAAATTCATGCGCTGTACACGATGTAAATCGCGGGCGAACGCCGCCGTAATCTAACGAAAATCGATATAGGCTCTCGATAAGACGAGGGATGCGGTTCAAGCGCGGTGGAAGCGCTTTTCCCGAGATCGCCCATGGACCAATATAAAATCCGTTCCGCCTGAAACGGAACAACTGGCGCGCACAATACCGGCGACCGCTGCACGGCGAGTGCATCCGTCTGATCTCGCTCGACGGTCTGCCGAGCTCAAAATGTCGTCGGCGATTTAATATAGCATCTACGGCAGGCGCCGTGTTAAAATTAATGCTGTTAAACAACATGAGATAAGACAGAAAAGTCCAGATGACTGGAAGATAAAAATAGGTGGAAGTTAAATCGACCGACCGCTTGCACGTCGCGCGTTATATTGGACTCCGAGTGCACTTCCTCGAACCGCTTACGGATTTATAAGGCCAGCGAACAAACAGGTACAACAAGACCGTCCGAATCAATGAATCCGCCATCTCGATTGACCATTGCGCCTTCAACGAGCTATGGGATCTCGGCCTGTACTACTTACTTGAGGTGCTCTATAACCGTCGCGTGTTTCTTTCATTCTAGACTCGGCTGACGGACTCACAGTATCTACCTGGTGAAATCGACCTCCCGATAAAAATATCGATGAGTAACGGACGATCGAAAGCAAGGTCGGAGCAGACGCGTAAATGATAAAAAAAAATCGACGGGGAAATCGCAAGGAAGAAAATCCGTTCCCTCCGCGTGCAATCGTATTTTTCGGGACGTACACTGAGAGGAAAAATATCTGAAAAATAAAAAATATTTATTTGATGAGTACTATATATAATAAGATATTAACTTAAATCTCTGAATTTTCGTTTAGGTCGAATAAACCATCGCTTTCATGAGAAGTTAAGGTTTTAAGAAAATGTGTATTTTCTCAGTTGAAAAATATTTTGTACAAGTAAATATGTTATCAGTACCCATCGAATAAATGTTTTTGATTTCTTCGATTTTATTTTTTATTTTTTCTCTCAGGGTACTTTCTTAAAATAGAGAAGTAAACTTTTTTTCCATTGAATCAGTAAGAGCGCTATTTCACCGATAATCAGTGAGTATTCACTCATTCTCAGTGAAAACTGAAACACTTTACTGCTTCGTCTTACGTCTCACCGATTTTCATCAGTGGAAGTAAGATATCACCATGAAATCTGTAATATAATTCGTTATATGCTATAAGGAATCCAACATTCTGTATTTATTACGACGAAATTAACGGCTTGCGTGCAACGACACTGTCTGTGTTCGCAAAATGCATCGATAGTAACAGAAATAGTCGCTAATATCAATTGATCTTTTCAGGGAGATTTGACTAATTGCAGTGCTACACTATATTACTTATAACTGCGCCACCAGTTGTAAGTGTAGCACATTTCAGTGAAAAGTACACTGATTGCACTTTAGAGAATACAATCTGAGTCTATCAGACCCAAGCAACTTGAAACTGCTATAACTTTGTTGAAAATCAATATTTTTAGGCATTTTTTCCAGAGAGATATAGAAAAGTCTCGACTATAAGATAGTAGCATAATAAAATCCAAATCTACATATAAATTTGAATTATTTTCAAATTCTCTTGGACCCTTAATGAGAGATCGAATGTTCCTTCGTCTCACAGATCCGACACTGTACTCGAAGGGTTAACAGAAAGAGTAACAGACGATGAAGGCAATAAGGTAAAAGTACCAATGTCTAGACACTAATAACACTGGTGCCTGACTCTGAACATCCTTATTACTTTGGGGTCTTTAAATACAAATATTTAAACTTTCAAAATATATAATATATATACATATGTTGAGAATACGTACACGCTATACGTTGAAAGTTTAAGTATTTGTATTTAAAGACTAAAGAGCAATAAGAACGTTAGAACAGAACAGAGTTAGGTGCCGGTGTTGTTAGTGTTGAGGTAGAGTGCTCTTAATGGTCGCATTGCAACGTATACATAAAGTCAGCTCGACCTGAGAATGAAGAGATCATTAATCAGCGAGTTCTCGCTCGCTGTTGGCACACACGTCAAGACGTACGTCGCGCGTAATCGCGCTCTAATCGCTAATCGCTGACTAACTCGCACGGCTCTCTCACCTTATCAATCGGCATTGAAGGGCACGCACGGCAGAGGTTCCAGAATGAACCAATCATGAGGCCGCGGTGTGTGGGGCAGTGGGACAGTAGTGACACGCAGCCGCTGCGTTAGAGCGACGGGGAGCCGTTTTCTCGACGACGACACGACGGACACGGTGTCGTCAGGCCAGGATGCTGCGTCCTGCCGAGGAGGAGGAGGACGCGGCTCCTCGACGTCGACACGACGCGTTGGTAGATACGACACACAACTACACCTTCCCTTCCCGTCCTCGTCCACCTCACCACTTTACCACCGCCACCTTCTTCTCCCTTCGAGGCAGTGTTCGTGAACGGCGCTCGAGCTCGTGCTCGGGTTCCGGATTACTCCCTCTGCGTAGACGAACGTATGCGTGAATGCATGTGTGTGTGTGTGTGTGTGTGTGTGTGTGTATCAAGTGAACAGACAGATGGAGGGAGATGAAGAGAGAAGCCGGGCGTCGGTATTGATGTGCGTGTGTACATATGTGTGTATGTATCAGCGTGCGTGCGTGCGTGTGGGTGGAACGCAATGCCGGCATCCGCGCCTGCGGTCGCGCCGACATCCGTGGATTTTCGCCAGTGAAAAAGGTAAAGAAGAATCTCATCCTAGAATATAGAGATAAATGGTATCCCGACGCGGTCTCGGGATCGTCGTCCGCCTCCGCATCCGCCTTCACGAGAGAGCGAGTTACGTGATCGTGCGTACCGGGAGCGGGGAAGATAAGCGGAGACGAGACGGCGGGAGTGATAGCAGATGAAGCAGATAGGTAGGAGCGAGATGGGGTCGTGATAGATCGCTTCGTGAGGTACACGTGAGATAGGTCGTAAATAGAACGAAGTGTGAATAGAGGAGTCGAGAGCGCGAAGTGGCGTTCGGAAAATCCGAGTGTTAGCTTATAATTCGCGATTACGTAATGGATTTCGCCGGCGTACGTGTGTATCGAGATGCCGTTTCCGTCGAGACGACAAACGCCAGAACGGTCGGGGAGAGAGGGAACGATTGTGCTCGCGTTAATGAGCGATGCGGCGGCAGGAAGCGAAGGGCACGCGAGCGCGATGAATATCGAAGCACTCTCAATGGAGTCTCGGCGTCGATACGGTCGATTATTGCACGGATTGTGCTTAATGAGGATCAGGATAGGAAAGACGAAGAGTGATTCCCGGCGGATTCTTCGCGCTGCGCCCGACACCGTCGTGTCGGTGTCGGTGTCGCTCGCCATCGGAAAAGAAGAAGCACACGCAGAGTGCATCGATCAAAAGCTAGCTCGCTCGGGCGATTCCTCGAAGGACACGAGGAATCTATCTATCGGATATATTAAGATGCAGATTGGAAGGAAAACGGATAGGTTAGGACAGAGGAGTAGGACAACGCGCGAGCAGACAGAGCAAGAAAATGTGAGTTACCAAGCAACAGTGCGCAACCGAAGTCAAGGTGATCGGTCTATAATCGCGCGGCTGCTGATTAATTAATAACGGAGACTAAAGATGGGCGCTTGGAATTGCACTCGTCGCGTAAAAGAACAGTAGTATGCGTGCAATGAGGCCAATAATACGTCCAGACAGTCGCGAGAGGTGCGAATAAAGGTCGATGAAGGTGCGACAGAGATCGGCACGTAGTGTGTGATGCCGGAAAGGAAGCCGTTTTCAAGATCCGCAAGGCACGATCACGCAATTCGCCGACGAAGGCGAAGCCCACGAAGATCGGGTAGATCAGGAAGTGGAGAAACAGCGAAAGGTCCGGTCGTTTTTCGACTTTATCGTCTCATCATCGCTCTTTCTCTCTCTCCCTCTCTTCGTCCTTCACTTCCTTCTTCAGGTCTTGCTCCGATCGTCCAGTTGGTGGCCGATCGTTGGAAATACTTCGACGCACACCTGTCAGTCAGCGTTCGCCGGCTTGCCGTATCCACGCACACACGTACGTACGTATACGTGTACACACCTATCGCGAGCAGAAGCAGCCCGGAGAAGGGAACCCGCAGAGCCTTCGAAGGCGCCGATACGAAGCAACGGCCGGTCGCCCACCAACGCGACGACGTCGGTTAGCACTAATCTCGACTAATTGAATTTCCTTCCTCGGCCTCTGCGCTACAGGCGCGACGAGAGAGCCGCAATCTCTCGAAAACGAGGATCGCCAGTCCGACCTGTGTACCCACACTGTATATCGGTGCCGTCCCGTGACACGCGCCGGTAGTACGCGTTAACGTGTCCGCGTGAGCGTGTAAAGTGACAAGCGGAATGACGAGAGAGAGAGACAGAGAGAGAGAGAGAGAAGGAGAGAGAGGGAGGATGTTAGAGAAAGAAGAAAGAGGGGAGAAGAGCGAGCGTGAGAGAGGAACGCAGAAGCAGATTAAGATAGAGATACGCGAGTACTTGATGTAATAACGCGTGTGTGCGTGTCAGCCAATCGTTGCGTGCACGCGTGTGCGGGCGTGGGTGGCGTGTGTATGCGTGGGTGTGTGATGTGTCTGTCTGTCTGTCTATGCCTGTGTATGCGTGCGGTGTCAGCCAGGTGACACCCCGGACACGTACGAACAGCACGACGAGACGGAGGGCAGAGCGAGAACGGAATCGTGAGAGGCACTGCTGGTCCCACCGTCGCACCGACGTTACGTAGAGCACCGCGTCGCCGGCAAGACGGCCCGCGGGGACAGTAGGAGGGGTTGCCAGAGACAAGCGCAGGCGTCGAGCTAGAACCCGGGTCGATAGTCCGCAATATTCCTCCCTTGCCGGCCGGCTGGCTACTCGCTCTGCGTCTCCTTCTCTCTCTTTTCTCTCTTTCTCTCTCCCTCCCTCCTGCCCGCTTGCTCGCTCTCTTTCTCTCCACCCCGCCGCATCGCTAAACTCCTCGTAGTGGCAAATCATCACGCGGAGCACTCGCGCTCGTCTAGGATCCTGACGCTCGTAGAGAAATCCCAGAATGCAAAGACTCGGGGTTTTCGCCGCTTCAAAAGGAAGGACCCGAGCGGATGATCTCCGACTCCCCCGGGTGCGAGAGAAGTTTCCTCGAGCGCACGTAGAAAGACCGGCTTCGCGCTCTCCACGGCCGCGTCGGTTAATCTAATTCACGTCGCCGCCGTCGCCTCGCGTCGTCCATAGCTGCATTAAGATATCGGACGCGAAACTATATCCGACGTCTTTGGGAAATTCGATTGCAATCTATCCGACGTTCGCCGAGGTATCGACTGCTGTAAAAGCGCGGAGTTTCGCTGTCAATTTGCGTCTAGGGCCCGCAAGTCCGTCGATCCACCACTGGCTCCTTCGTATATTTTCCCTCTCTGTCTCTCCCATCCCTGTCTTTCGCTCCAGTCACCCTCTCGTTCGCACCACCGTTGCGTATTTACTCGTATACGTGCCGTCTTTTCTCCCTTCCTCCCCTCAACCTCCTTTGCTTCCCGTCGTCTTTGCTCTCCCCCCCCCC